TGCTGTGCAGAAGAGTGAAGATTAGACTGCCTCTTCTTGAGCCCTTTATACTTGCTCTGCCCTGAATCCTGATGAGGTTGGGAAGACTGACTAGACAAGGTTTAAGCTTAAACTTCTTCTCAGAACATACAGACCAAAAGTACGGAGAGAGCAGTGCGGAAGACCTTTAACCAGTGCATCTTAGTGTCCATCTGCTCTGCAAACAGGGTCACCCCATCAAAGGGGAGAGCCTGTGATGAATGTTGTGCCTTGGGGAGGAGGCTGGAGAGAAGCAGCCAAGATGCTCTCTGCACGGACATAGCCAGCCAAACCCATGGAACAAGCTGCAGCATCCACCACATCAAAGGCTTCCTGGAGCGTCGCTTGAGCTGCCATTGCTCCTCCCCCTCCTCCCCCCCGTGCCCAGGCTTGAAACACCTTTTTCGAGTCCTCCCGGGGAGAAGACTCTAACTTGGTGACAGCCTGCTCTATGTTCACCCCGTAGAAGGCCACGAGGGCTTGGTGATTTGCCACTCAGAGCTGTAGGAGGAATAAAGCTTTTGGCCAAGTAAGTCAAGTCTATTTGAATCTTTGTTTTTTGGGGTTGTCCCACGCTGGTCTTGTCTCTTCCGTTGGTTGATGGCTTCCACCATTGAGGGAGTTGGGGGCTGGGTGGGAGTAGCAGGTACTTATTCCCCTTTGCCAGGACAAAGTGTTTCTGCTCTGCTCATTTGGAAATAGGGGGAATGGAGGAGGGCATTTGCCACAAAGCCATGGCGATGTTGGCCTCCCCATCATGGAGGAGTAAGGCCAACCCTTCACGAGGGCTGACTGTTCCAACATCCCAGAACGGGTATACTCTGACTCCTCAAGTTCCTGCACTTGGAGGTTTAAGTTGGCGGCCACCCGCTTGAGGAATTTTTGGTGGGCCCAAGCATCGTCCAGGGGCACCACTGGAGGGGGCCCACAACGGCCTCATCCCGAGAAGAGGCAATGACAGCTTGCACCAGGGGAACGTCCTCAGGACCGAGAGAGGCTGGAGTCTGTGCCTCCATCTCCTGCTCCACCTGGAGGGAGGGAGCTGTAGAAGCCTGGAGTGGTGGGAGGCATTTAGTGAAGGCAGAGGTGGCCGACAGTGCTGTTGATGTACTGGTTACCGAGCACAGGACCTGGGATGGGATGGAAACCCCCCATGAATACCAGGGTTACCACTGAGACAGCCAGGCCTGCGATCACTGTACTTCTTTGGTTGAGTTAGTTCATTGTCAGGCAAAATGTGCATCTAAAGCACATGGGCAGCGACTTAGATTGCAAACTCTTCAGGCACAGACCATTTCCGTTTTATGTATGTACAGTACCTAGCGCACTGGGGCTTGCAGCCTCTAGGTGCTACCAAAATACAAATAATCAACAGTTCAAAAATGCTATATAAAGGAAAAGGCTATTACCTTTTTCCATAACTGCTGTTCTTTGAGATGCGTTGTTCGTGTTCGTTCTATATTAGGTATATGTGCTCGTCACATGGCCTGTGCTGAACATTTTTCCCTCTGTAGTGTCCCACACATACAGCAGTATAAGGAGCACCACCGGCTCCCTGCAGCCTTGGTTCCTTCTTGCCAGGAAACTCCAACAGGGGGAAGGAGGTTAGAATGTGGAACGGACATGAGCAACACATCTCAAAGAACACCAGTTATGGAAAAAGGTTACTGTTTTTTCTTGGAGTGCTTGCACATGTCCATTCTGTATTAGGTGACTTCCAAGCAGTACCAACGGAGGCAGGTAGGAGTCCACTGATGTGCAGATTGCAACACCGCGCTGTCAAACCCCATGTTGTCTCTGACTTGCTGAGCGATGGAACAATGCACCATGAATGAGTGAAAAGAGAATCCCATTGAGGCTCTATAGATGACTTGGATAGGGCTGTGCACCAGGAAGGCTGCCAAGGATGCCCCCACTGTACCGCTTACCAGGAGCAGCTCAAGGTAAGCCCTTCCTGCCCTGTCCCTGACCCCTCCCCATCCAAGCCAGAGCTCCCTCCTACACCAGAAAGCTCCCATCCTCAGCCCCACTCCAGTCAAATTATGTTGGGTCACAGGCATCAATTTTCTTCAACTGGGTCATGAGAAAAAAAAATGTGAAAACGGCTGTGTTAAAAGAATGTATGACAAGAAATTCTACATTTAAATGAAACGAGGAAGGTCTTTCATAGCTGTGTAACAGCTGGTACTCTTCACAGTTGTCTCTCTCTCTCTCTCCCTCCTCCCTTTTTTGTCAGAAAGTAATTTATCATAAAAGATAAAAAAATCTAATTCTTCAGAGACTTCAGCCATCTGTTATTTATGAAACCTAAAATGTGTGTAAAGCAATTACATTATTCTGACGAAAAAAATGTCTCGAATATTAAAGACTTTGGTTTGGTAGCAACTGCAGTTCTTGATTTTTATTTACTCGGTTCTTTCCTTCTGCAAAACAGAATCTGTGGATCTCACTCCTTCAGTCAGCAGATTTCTTGTCATCAATATGAGTGTAGTTCTTATTTCTCCTGATTCTTTGTATGCCAATAATCAGGAGGCGTCTTTAGTGAATATTCAGTGCTTGTTCAAATTTAAGGACTGTTTTCTAAGGAGGTTTAGAGTAAAAATTTCAAAAGTCCCTTTTACTTTCTATGTTCTGCAAGGTCCCTAGCAGAGCTTTGGGCACAATGTGATGAATAATAGTGTATTATTCACATGAGAAAAGGGAGAAACTTAAAACTCACAATAGCTAGTGGATGCTGTGGAAGAAAACATTGTCCTCACTCTGAGTTTGTAAGCAACAAGTAGCCAGAGGCAGTTTTATTACGAGCTGCAGCAAGGGAAAAACTGGTTCGGACAGGGGGGGAAGTTCCCCCCCCCTCCAAGACAGATCTTCGAATACAAGCAATTATGAAGCAGTTTATATACTGTCTATTAGATATAATAACAATTAGTCTCCTTCCCATTACAAACACCAATGGCTAACAGTTATTTAGTTCCACCCAGATGCTCCTTATCTCAAGGTCCCTGCCAGAGTCAGCATTCTATCCTTATCTCCGTATGGAGGCGAGAGGCAAAGGCAGCGTCTAATTACAGATCTCGCGTTGTCAGGCCACAGACTTAGCCTGACTCTTGCTCTCTTGTTAACAAGACCAAGATGGCTCCCTTATTCCCTTTTCCTGCCTCCACAATGCCGAAGTCTGCCGTTGGGGGGGGCTGGGGATTGTAGTCAAATTCAACTAAGCCAGCCCAAATCAATCAAAACCATATTCCTATCTGATTAAAGCTGTATGAGCCTCATCCAGACACTTTTACAGGTCTGAGAAAAGAAAAATTCCATGAAGGATGCAGAGTTCCCGCTACAGTACATGGATTATAAACATTTGGTAACATCACTCAAGTTAATAAAGTTTCCCAGTAGTTTCTCAACCTTTTTTTTTTTTTTTTTTTATAAAGTACCCCTTTAAAAAAAATTATAAGTACCTCCAGTACCTCCAGTTTTCAGACACACAGACACACATTTTTTTCTACCACTGCAACACATTTGTTCAAACAATTTAATCGTAGCCAGGTGGGCGATGAAATTTTTGGGTGTAAAAAGTACAAATATAATAAAACGTGTAAAACTTAACAAATATTCAGTTTTCTCCAAATTTCGGTTGTGTTGATGTACCCCCCAGACTTCTCAGGGTACTCGTACCACTTGCTGAGAAATACTGGACTAGGTAGCCTAATGGATGACTAGGGATGTAAAATCCCATTTATTCAGTTAACTGGTTAAATGTTATATTTAACCACTTAACCGGGATCCCATGCTGCTGCAAGCCTGGCCAGGCTGAAGCGCCTCTCCTCTCCGCACGGTGGGCCCAGCTAGGCTGGTGATGCTTACCAGTTAAGCAGTTACTTCCCTACTGATGGCCGGTTTTTCTATAGCAAAAGGGGACCAGCTTTCAATGCTCTATATTCCTGTGGGAATAATGCACCATTTTTAATCTAACATGTAAATTTAGGATATCGCAATTTCATAAAATAAGTGAGATAACCTAGCAGCTGGCCACACTTAGTTATGAAAGCATCCGGTTCAACAGATATTTTTAAAGTATATGTGGAGTAGCCTTTATTTTGAGTACATCGCTGTCAGAGAATTTTTGTTTGTTTAAAAAATACAAACTCTTGAGTCAGGAACAGAAAACATGGTAAGAACATCAGAAAGAGGAACTCAGCATGGATAGTGGGAAATCCTGAAAAGAAAACAAAAAGTGGAGCTGGGCCAGCTTTCTGCCAGTTTTCTATAGTTTATTTGTATTGGTATTTACACTAATAGCTTTGCCCACTTTTCAAACTTCATCTTGTTCCTTGTACCAAATGGCTGAGGGAAAAGGCTCTCCAAATCATTAAACTGATTTAATTTTAAAGTTAAATATATTTAAATTGTAATTACAAGCTTCTTTTTCTCCTGTTTAAATTTGCTGTACTTAACCAGAAAAAATGAAGCTGTACTTTATTTGAGTATCCTCTGAAAAAATGCCATTAAAAATAAATGTCTATTTAAACTGTATGCATGTTAGCTAGTTTTTCCTACTGGGACTGAAGAGTAAGTAGACAAAGGGCCCTAAAGCTTCCTTGACCTCACAGTCCTTGATACAATAGTGGTGGAGAGACTGAACCATTTTACTTTAACCATTGCCTCTGCTTCCTTGAAAATATGCGACAGTTGATGTCAGAAATCAAAAAGCATAGCAAGCTGTTTTCCATTCATGCAGTTTTTCTCACGCCAGGCTGGCTAGACACACAGCATCCAAAACAGATTTAACATGCCTCTTCCTTAATCTGTGGAACATGGGACATAGGAAGCCTTGTATTTGTAGAATACAGACCAGATATCCCCTTCCGTCCTGGGTTAGTGACAGCCAAGATTACCATGGCAGAAGATTTATCAGAGAAGAATGCAACTAGCAATGCAGACAGCTATGCAATGTGCCACCCACAGATGTCATTCAAACTATGCAGAAAAGATGGAGGGTGCACAAAAGAGGCGGTGTCTCGTGGGGATAAGAACAAGCCGGCGCAATGAGGCCATGCGCATAGTGGACCTGAGACACCACCCATTCCATATCAAAAACAAAATCAGAGACTGAAACAAGACCCAGGCTCCAACAAAATGGACTATTTCCAAGTATTTGAAAAGCTTCAAACAGCTGTGGAGAGGAAGAAAAGTTTCACAGTCCAGAGTGAGGCAGATGCATGAAAACAAGCTCTCTTCTATAACTGATTCTTTTTTGAAAGCCAGGAGGGCATAAGCAAAGACCTAGATCTCCAGGGACTAGATCTCAATTTGAAATTATGTTTGAAGAAAACATGACTTCAAAGTATTTAACCAGGTCTACCTGTCCAGAAGAACCCCAAGAAACTAAAACCGCAATTTCCAATGTTTTGGGGCTCCAGGAAAGCTTGGGATATGGCCCAGCAGACAACAGTAGTGAAGGATCTCCTACTGCCAATGACTTCTCAGTAAATTCGACTTCATTGCAGCACCATCTTCTCAGCCTGAAGAAGCAGATGTCCAGGCAAAAGGCAGAGTATGAAGCTAAAATTACAAGGTAAGGGATCTTACACTATGAACTTCCCGGGACAGGGACTGTATTTCTTTGTACGTACTCTGCCTCCTGCCAGAAGGCAGAGAGCCCCAGCTAGTGTCTTTAGACATTATTGCAATAGAAATAAGGATTGTTCACATTTTATGGTGAATGTTTCTCACTATCCAATATTTGCAAGAGACCAAATTTGATATGTTACAATTTAGGCTAATGGCACTTATTTAAAATTAACAGAAGGCAATATCATCTGAGCTGGTCAGAAATTTTAAAAGCATTTAAAATTTCTTGGAGAACTGGAAGATTTTTTTAAAAAAAAACATGTGTAGTCTACTGTAGAATTCCTACCCACCCGCCCCGAGCCAGGGTGAGGAGCTGTAATTTGCAGAGCCGAGTGGTTTGGGGAAAATAAGACACAATATGAACAACAACAACATGTGCTAGCACAGAGCTTTATAAGCATAAAAGGAAAATTCTTTGCAACAGCTCAGTGGAGAAATTGGCAAGTACGACCCTACTTTTTCCCTATTCAGTTTCCTGATATGAAAGTAATCTACCTTAGGCTGCTTAGTGAGTCAAAGGTAGACGTGGAATAAGAATGAAGCAGCTCCCTACGTCTGCACTCAGTTAGCTGAACAGTGCTGCCTGTTGACAAAAAATTGTTCATACCTTAATATTTCAGATCAATTATCCAAATTGAATATTTAGATAAACTGTGAAATGCCTTGACATAATGTTAGTGACTTGCAATGGGGGACATTTAATTTGCCTTCAGAATAAGAGAACAAGTGGAATTTTGCCCAATACTGAATATTTTTGGAGGTTTGAGTTTCATAGGATAGTCCCATTTTCAAAGGTTTAACAATTCTGTTTAATACATTTATTCCCTGCAAACACTAAGATGACAACACCTGGTCAATATTTTTTGCCCAGCACTGAAGAAGCCTCAGTATGAATGGAATTAAAAGCAATTAATGACACACATTGCCTTGCCATATATTATGCAGGTCTAGCCTTACAATAAAAAGGAAAGTAAATGATACAACTGACACAAAAATATCATAGGTCTTAGATGCATCATCTTTTATGTTGAGTAACATAAAAGATTAAATAAGAGGTGGGTGGGAAAATAAAAAAAGCTGTTCCTTTTTTTAGTTCTATCTTTACTACCTTCTTCTTAAACTCTCCCTTCCCATTTTAATTTGGTATTCTCATTTTCTTTCCTAAAAATGGTTGTGTTGGTGATTGCTGTTGAACAGGTTTAGCGATTTCCACTGTACGGCCTATTACATGTGAGTGACACAGTTCTCACATATCTAATATTCCATACAGTACAAGTTAAAGCAACAAAAAGTTAAACAGTTAAACAACAAGAGTCTGGAAATGCAAATTTTGATAGCTGTTAATTTTTTCAGTGTTAGATACAGAGGGTGTACAAGCATCCTGAATACTTGTGATATTCCACTGAAATCTGATGTAAATCCAACTGTTTGTGGGAGTGATTTCGCATAGAGGTTCTAAGTGAAGACTATACATTGATTATAGCCCCTCTCTTCCATAACTCTTAATATTAGTGGAATTGCACACAATCTAAGTAAAACAGGTAGGTCTTTGTGCAAAAAAATATGCAAAATTGCTTTTTTATGCTGCAATTTAAGGTTTACCAGCATGAGTATAAAATGGAAAATTGCATTTACCTTTAAGGAAAAAAGACAACTTTCTGAGCAGGATTGGTACTTTAATTCACTGAGCTGCAGAAATTGAACAAATTATTAACGATAGGAGAGAAGTGCATTAGCAACAAGTTGAAAGGGAACTCAACATAGTCTAATTTGGAGATTCCAAGTGCCTCTCTAGACACTTCTATTTATAGCATCACATGCTTAAAACAAAATGCTTTTTATAAATTTAGGCTTCTCATGAATGGTGACAGGAAAAAAAGAGCCCTATAAACTGCAGTGTCTATCTTTCAAACAGCCTGGAGCAGCGGACCAAAGAGCTGCAATCAGAGATTAAGGATCTACATTCAAAACTGGGTCAGCAGCGGAAGTGGTACAGTCTGGTGGAGATTAAAATGCGAAATGCAGAAAGGGCACGGGAAGATGCAGAAAGAAGAAACGAAATGCTTCAAAGGGAAATGGAAGAGTTTTTTGATACCTTTGGGGAATTAACAAACGATGTGAAGAAGACAGAGAGAAAATTGTTCAAAGTTTTTAAATCAATGAACTAGATCAGTTTGAAAAAAAGAGCTAATATTTGATTAAATGGTTACTCTTTTCAATGCAGAAATTAGATTCTGAATCTTAAAATAAGCTTAGTAATAAAATTAAACTTCTTTAAACTTTTCATACAAATGGGATAGAATTGCAGCATTTTATTAAACCAAGTAAGTAATGCCTATTAACTTTAAATAGCATAAATCTGATTTTGAAAGTTTTGTTAAAAATTATTTTTGCCTGCTCATATAAAAATCTTGTATTTGTTCAAGACAATCCAAAAACTGCAGTGAGAACAGCACACTAATAAGTCACGTCAGCACTGAGTGGAAGAAAAAAATCTTTATTTGAACCCATGCGAAGCAGAATTGATTATATTTCAGTCTATCCATTTCTCCAGCCACAGAGTAACTAACCAAATAGCCTTATTACAGTTATACTTGTAAATTATCAATATAGTTTCTCTAGTCACTAGCATCAACACCAACTAATGAGCAACCAAGGTCAATTCAGACGCATGTCAAAGAGTTTAAAAACTTGAATTTTCCAAAAGCAAAACCAGAACAATAATCAACACAGTTTATATTCTGAACACTGGGATAACTGATGGCCTGTGTTATGATGGGATACAAACAATAAATTATGTATTTATGGCTACCGATTGCCAGTTTTCAGAGACAAGAAGAATACATAATTGAGTGACATTGTATTACAAAAATGGAGGACATATTTGTAAGTCATTTCAGTGCCTACGGCTAGTTGCATTTTTCCTCCTCTTCAGTACCAGTCAGACAATTGTTTTTCTCTGTTCAGAATGAAAGAGCAATTCCAGATGGTTTCTGCCAAAAACGAAGTATACAGAAAGAAAATTCCCTTTTTTGAACATTCCTTACCATTGTCAATTTTTTAAAGAAACTTACTCAGATGAATTATGTAAAATAAACCTTCTTGATTTTTTTTTTAAATCTATTTGGTCACCAACTAGTCTATTTGGAAAAAAACTAATGCTACTTGGATATTTTTTCAGATAATGAGGTCTCAAGCGATACATGCCATTTTCAGATCAAATCAATAGGAAAAAGATTTTTTTTTTTTTGCAAAAAGTAAGTATTTTAAAGAAAAGCAAATCCCCAATTGGTCAGTGTGATCTGTATTCACCAAATTACTTAATTATAATCACACTTCAATGTTTTGCTAACTAGAAGTGGGATTATTCATGTGTTTATTTATAGCACGTACCTAACTACTTTGCTGCATCGGGACCTACTTTCAGCATATGGTGATGTCTGGAGTTAAGGGCCACAAGAGTGTCTATTATATAGTTTCTTAGTTCCTAACTTTCTCAAACTTAATTCTCAAACTGAAGTTCTGTGTGTTCAATCCAAGGGCACATATTTCGGAAAGCTTGAGCATACACAGTTCAGTTTTGCAATAAAAAAAGATACACTTCTCCCATGTGAAGAGAAGAAAAGAAGAAGTGTGACTTTGTTAAAGGCTTCTCTTGTGCTTTACCTGGAGGCAATAAAAGCTTGAGATTTATCAGGGAGAGTGGCCCAATGAGCAAATTTTGATTGTACGGGCGGAGGGGGGGGAAGCGGAGTCATGTTTGCCTTAATCTGGTCATAAGGGCTAAAAACAAACAAATCCCAAAGCCTTACTCTCTGTGTTTGTGTACACATTGGGTCGAATTGTATTTTAATGTATAGGTGCATATACAGGATGATTTATGAAGGCACAGATGGAATGACTCAAGAGTCCATAGAAGTGCTAACTCATTTCATTTGATTTGATAATACGTGCACTGCATGAGGGAGTACGTGTATTGCCATCATAAGGTATAAGAGAATGAAAATAATCTTCAGACCTGAGGAACATTGTTCGTTGGAGACAGGGAGCACCGGCTATCAATTGGATGGTCTTTGAATGTGGGTCAGTTTATGAAGCCTCAGTTCTGAAAATAAACCTTAGTTCTGTGAAAAGGAAAGAACAAATTTGAGATCAGGAACGAGGTGCCAATGCAGAACCTCTCACTGCAACACAGCCTCATTCTATAACAGGGGTCACCAACCTTTCAGAACAGTAATAGAGATGTAGCCCTGTTAGTCTGGTCTTACTGAAACAAAAGACAGGACTATGCAGCACTTTAAAGACTAACAAGATGGTTTATTAGGTGATGAGCTTTCATGGGCCAGACCCACTTCCTCAGATCAAATTGTGGAAGAAAATTGGCATGACCATATATACCAAAGGGATAAAAAAATAAAAGTGAACACACAAAATTGACAAATCAGATTTTAGAACGGAGGGGGGCATGCCGGAGGGGTGAGGGGGGAAGGTTAATGTCTATGAGATAATGATATTAGGGGTGATAATTGGGGAAGCTATCTTTGTAATGGGTAAGATAGTTAGCATCTTTGTTATGGCCCATTCATAGTGTCAAATTTAAGCATGAATGACAGTTCTGAGATTTCCATTTGTAGTGTGGTGTTAAAAGTCTCTTTGGTGTAATATATATGGATTGAGGTAATTGAGACAACACCCAGTCTGGCTGAAATGACAAGAAACTGTTTTTTCTTTGTGAAACTGTCTGATTTGTGGGCATTAATTCTTTGGCGAAGTGTCTGAGAAGTTTGTCCATTATACATAGCAAATGGACACTGTTGGCACATCATGGCATAAATTAAATTTCTGGATGAACAGGAATATGTGTTTTTGATCTTGTAACTGACGTGGTTAGGTCCAACGATGGGCTCAGCAGAGTAAATATGTGGACAAAGCTGGCAACGGGGTTTGTTGCAAGGGAAAGTTCCAGGGTTGGTATTAGTGTGGTATGTCCTGTGGTTGTTGGTAAGAATCATCCTGAGATTAGGTGGTTGTCTGTAGGAGACTATGGGTCTGTCTCCCAGAGCCTCTCGGAGTGTAGTATCCTGTTCTAGTATAGGTTGTAGGTTATTGATAATGCATTGGACGGGTTTAAGTTGGGGGCTATAGGTGATGACAAATGGTGTTCTATTGTTGGTTTTCTTGGGTCTGTCTTGAAGTAAATGGTTTCTGGGTACTGGTCTGGCTCTTTTTTTTTTTTTTTATTTCCCAGGGTGGGTAATTGAGGTTTACCAAGGCTTGGTAGAGATCCTGAAGTCTCTGTCAGTGGGATTAGAGCAGATGCGGTTGTATCTAAGGGCTTGGCTATAGACGATGGATCGTACAGTGTGTTCTGGATGGGAGCTGGAGGCATGTAGGTAACTGTATGAGTCCGTGGGTTTTCTGTAGAGAGTGGTATTTAATTTACCATTGGTGATTTGTACTGTGGTGTCCAGGAAATGGATCTCTAGTGTTGAATGGTCCAGGCTGAGATTGATGGTGGGGTGTAGGTTGTTAAAGTCTCTGTGGAATGCATCTTTCGTGGCCATGGGTCCAGATCATAAAGATGTCATCGATGTAGCATACGTAGAGGAAGGGCAAAAGGGGACAAGATCTGAGGAAACGTTCTAAGTCAGCCATAACTACCTTATCCATTACAAAGATAGCTTCCCCAAATGTCACCCCTAATATCGTTATCTCATAGACACTAACCTCCACCCCTCAACCCGCTCTAAAATCTGATTTGTCTATTTTATGTGTGTTCACTTTTTTTGATTGTATCCCTTTGGTATACATGGTCATGCCAATTTTCTTCCACTATTTGATCTGAGGAAGTGGGTCTGGCCCACGAAAGCTCATCACCTAATAAAAACCATCTTGTTAGTCTTCAAAGTGCTGCATAGTCCGGACTTTTGTTTCAACCTTTCAGAAGTGGAGTGCTGAGTTTTGACCTATTCACCTTTATGTACAGGTCCAAGTGCTGGTGATACGTGCAGCTCCAAATGTTCCACTGAAGGCATGTGCCACTGCTCCCTCCCTGATCCCCTTTGCAGGGCAAAAAATCCCAGATATTTTTGCCTTTAAAAAAAAAAACCATCCAGACGGCGATTTAACATGTAAAAACAAGGACGTGTCTGGGAAAAAACGGACGTATGGGAACCCTACCCAAGCCCCAGCACAGACCCCTCTCATCTCGGCCTCACTGGTGATACATATCCAACCCCCAATGGCAGTAACCCACCTACCTGCCCATGGCTGCAACACTCCCCCTCCAGTCCCCAACCCACCAGAGGCTTCAACATGACACGGCAGCAACTCGCCTGGCTGCCACGTGTTCTACGCCTAAAATGCTGGCTGCCACACAATGTGCCCTCAGCCCCAGCAGCAGCCAGCTCCCCAACATGGCACTGGCCGCCCACAGCTGCAACGCCTCCCCCTCCAGTTCCCAGGCCACCTGTGGCTTCAACATCCACTCCGTGGCCACCCGTGGCTTCAACACTACTCCTCTCCGGTCTCCACGCTGCCTGGCTTCAACAGACCCCGTCTGGTACCCAACCAGTCCATGGCTTCAACAACCAAGGTCCCCAACCTGCCTGCCTGCAGCTTCAACTTGCTGTGACTTCCAACATGGCATGGCAGCAACTCACCTGTCTGACACATGTTCTAGGCCCGAATTGCCACCTGCCCCACAATGCGGCCCCAGCCCCAGCAACAGCCCACCCCCAACATGGCGCTGGCCACCTGTGACTGCAACACCCTCCTTCCAGTTCCCTGACTCCCCACAGCTTCAACTCCCACCCCCTATGGTGCCCAAGCCGCCCACAGATTCTTCAACCTCAACCTCTCCCTCTCCGGTCTCCAGGCCACGCGAGGCTTCAACCTGCCCTGCCCTGCCCCCTCTGTAGATAAATCTCTGTAACATTTCCATATAACCATGTATCATTCTCATATAACTTTGTATTAAGAGAAACGTTGTAAGTCCTTTGATAGATAGATCTTGTCCTTATCTATATCTATATCTATCTTTGTGTAAGCCTTCTTATAGAATCCCTTGTATTAAGAGAAACCTTGTATCCAGTCTTTTCCATAAAAACTTTGTATTAAGCCCTTATGTTATAGGCCTTAGGAATAGGAAAATGTCTTTTTCTAGGGGTAAAATAGATCTCTCCCCTTTCCTTGATTGTCCTGTTGAAATAAAAGAGGTGTGAATGGAGAAGCCTTGAAAGGTGAGCACCTCCAGCAGCATTTGCAAGGGTGGCGAGGGGCTGAGAGCCAGATCCAAAGACAATTAGATTTGTGAAGTGAGCTCACTGAAAAAGAAGATTGGACATATGGCCTTGGGAGTCAAGCAGCAAGTGCCTGAAGGACCCTCTTTGAAGAAGCATTAAAAAAGGCATCACAAGTATCTCACTGAATATGTAAATGATGGCTAACTGGCTGCAGGAGAGGAATAAATATGAGGCATCTTGCAGGAAGATGCTGGGTTTGTGTCTTGTCAACATCAGAGCATCGATCTGGATCATCAGCCCAGCTCCACCCTCCCCCATCTAACTCACCTGGTCAGTGTAGTTAGGGGGAGCAACTATTGCTAACAGCAAGACAGAGTGTGTGTGTGTGTGTGTGTGTGTGTGTGTACGCGCGCATGAGTGTAATGTATCATATGCATATGAAAAAGTATTGATTGATCTTACACTCAATAAATATGGCATGTTGCCTTATCCCCCTGAAAAAGATCCCGTGTGCTTCTTTTAAGCACACCTCCTTCCCCGTCTTCAACCCACCCACTCCCTTCTCCAATGCAGCCCCAGGCTGTCCCTGTTCCCATCCGCAGGAGTAGTCATGACACTCATCTTCCAAGAGCAGGAGAAAAGTGAGTTCTGCTGTGGAGGTGGGCGGGCTTAGATTTTTTTGGTGCGTCGCCGCGTAGGCATGCACATTAAAAGGAACAGTGGCACAGGCTCCTGGATGCCAGGGGAGGATGGGTGAGGCTGAGCTCCCGCCTTGCGTGCCAAGGAGAATCAGCTCCGGGGGTTGCCGACCCCTGTTCTATATGATCCATTGATAGGTGCAGAGTGAAACAGGCGGTTTCATTCAGTGCTCAAAACTGTAAAATCATTGAAGCAAGGCTTTACAGACCTTTACTTGTGAGAAAGGTGTATGCTATCTAGTCCACCCCACACACTCCCTAATCTCGGACCACATTGCCCAACGTCCTACTTAAATACTCTCCATTGGTGTCTAGTCTTTTAACACTGCAATTTCAATCTTTTCACACTCATCAAGGCTTTACATAATTCCACACCTGGCTTAATTTTTTAACTGGGCTCTTCTCTTCTTGTACTTCAACACTGTTTTTGTCTGTTAGATGCACATGCAGTATGATCCTGTTCTTTTTCTACTGGAAATCCAATAAAGGACTCCAAGAAGAGGGGAGAAAGGGAGGGTAGTGGAGCACCCATAGGAAAAAGCATCTCAAAGAGCCACACAGTTACTACACAGGATCAGTAACTTCTTCTTCAAGTGGTGTCCCTGTGGGTCCTTTGCTCGGGTGACTAAGTAGCAGTATCTGCCACACTGTAGTGGGCATTGAAGAAGCAAGGACCACATCTGCTAGAGTGGTGGTAGGTATGGGTCCTTTCTGTTGGGCATAATGTTATGCAAAAGTATAATGGGAAGACCATGTTGCTGATCTACAAATATCTGCTAGTGGCACATTATGAAGAAAATCAGCTGATGTGGCCATTGCATGTGTGCAATGTGCCCCAATAATCTGTGGTGGTTCTTTTCCACAAAGCTGGTAAGCCATATACAGTAAAAACTGTTATCTGGCACAGCCAGGGATTAGGGCATGCCGGTAACCTAAAAATTCTGGTTATCTGAGGGGTGGCAGGAGCTGATATCTGCTAGTGGCACATTATGAAGAAAATCAGCTGATGTGGCCATTGCATGTGTGCAATGTGCCCCAATAATCTGTGGTGGTTCTTTTCCACAAAGCTGGTAAGCCATATACAGTAAAAACTGTTATCTGGCACAGCCAGGGATTAGGGCATGCCGGTAACCTAAAAATTCTGGTTATCTGAGGGGTGGCAGGAGCTGTGCGGGGCCTACAAGGGAAGTGGGGGGGCCAGGAACTGTGGGGGAGCCAAGATGCTTGCTTCTGGCTGCCGTTTGCCCCTTCTCCAGGTACATCCTGCACATCTGAGGAGCACTTAAAGGGCCAGTTTCCTTTTTTTTTTTTTTTGTTCTTGTTGTTTTGTTTTTGTTTTTCCTGGCATCAAAAATTTG